ATCTCCCTTCCCCCCTAAATCAATGTTGTGAGTTGTGAATTATCATTTGTGGTCTTTCATAAACTACATTCATTCATTTCATTCATTTTTTATTTAATTTACATTCATTCAACTTTGTAATGAGGGGAGCGGGGAGGAGAGAATTGTACTGTACGCATTTAAAAGCAACCTCGGCAAAATTCATTAATTTTAGATACTAAAAATGGAATGTCTCAACTAGTTTTGACCGAGATTGTAGCCTTTTGATTTTATTATTTTGCAGGTTGTGGTCGATCCTACGACAATTTGACAGGAGTTGCCAAGTGTCGAGATGACTACAAAGCAATTTTACAAACGGGAGATCCCATAGGATGCGCTTCTACTGACCACGTTGCAGCTGTTGTAGTAGCTGCTGGATTGAACGCAACTCGAAAAAATTCCTTTGCGTTTGGAAGCTGTGACCAAACTTGTCCTCGTCAACTACTTGCATCAGAATGTGTTGGATCCTTACCATGTCTTAAACTCACTCAAGATTTGAAGGTTTTTACGATTTGCTCGAAATTTAGTGACAGCGCCTTCGTGGTTCGTGAAGAGAAGGATCTCTTTTATTACAATACGACTTACAAGTTTTTGCAGTTGCAAATAACATCCCCTACTTCAAGGTAAAGAATCGTTTTGATAGAAGTAGTATTCTTTTGATAAAGTTCGGCCTTTGGACCCTCAAACCTCAAACCAAACGTTCGCCACTGATTCATATAACCAATAGACAATCATTAATCATTGTTCATAACATCGGACTGATCGCCTCGACAATCGCAGGTAGTCGTCTCTTTGATTTCCCTCAGTCTTAATAACCATGCAGCTGATTAAAGTTGAGATCTTGCTCCGGTTCAAGTACACAGATTTTAATCAACAATTGGCCTCAATTGGAACAAATATCAGAGAAGATATTCCATTATATATACATGAAATATATCTCAAAACGATTATAATTTCTGCATATTGCTGTACTTTTAATGATACAAAAATATTATTAGTTATAATAATTTTGTAATAGTTATTTTTGATATAATTTTAGGCACGAAAATTGGTGTCGCGACTACCAAAGGCTTTGTGAATCMTATGCATTGCGTCCAGTGGCTTTTAGTAAGCAATACGAATACGGTTTCTATTATTGGACACCAGGAAGAGAATATCATGCTGTGGTGGAGCCTGACATGCGATTTACATCATACGGCCGTGACAGGATTAATACCTTAGCAAAACTAGTTGGTTTTCAATCTGCGACCACCAATACATTTACAATACGAGTAGCTTTCGGCTCTTAYATCTGTAAAAATACCGTGCCATCCTCAGGCAGCAGTAGTAATTTATACTATATGAGCTATGGAATTAGACATAAGATGTTCACTGCTTGCTCTGATGGTGGTTCGCTCAGTTTATTTAGAGTTCTATCCTATCGAAATATCACCTTCCAAAATACCCACTTCCTTGCTCTGAAAACCAAAGTTCAAACTCAAGTTAATCGTCAGAATTGGTGCAAAGAATATCAGAGTTTGTGTGAATCTTTTAACTTGCAGCCCGTTGGATGCAGTGCAGATTATAAGTACGTTGAAAATACTCAATGTCGAGATGTTTACCGTTCTATGGTGTCTAAACGCGACGTCTTTGGATGTCCGCCCTACGATAAAGCAACTGAAGTCGTGAATTTGGCAGGATTCTCNCACAGCAATTACAGGTCATGTGTACACTGTATGTCGAGGTTCTGACAGTAACTTTATTGTTCGCGACACTGCCACTGTTGAAGCTAGAGGCACTAACTTTCTAGTGCTGAAAACAGAGGTTCCGAAGAGTTACCAATCAAAACACGAAACATGGTGTGTCGATTATAAGAACCTCTGTGCATCCTATGGGAAGCTTCCCACGGGATTGTCCGAGAACTCTTTGTTGACAAATGCTTACTACTCAAATTGCAAAAGTAAATATCAATCTGTGATGTTGAGAGAACGATTCCAAATAACCACAAGATATGATGTTGACGATTTGGTAAAACATTCCAATATTCGAACTTCGGCAAGCATAAGCTACAATTTCGCGTTTCACGATTGCCGTACTGGGTATTGCGTGAAGACAATGAAAAGTAGTTCTCACCTATCTCTTCCATCCCTCCTTACAAAATACAGAATTTTTCAAACAATCTGCGTCAATCCTGACTGCAACTTTGGTCTCATCGATACAAGGAACTACACGTACTRYAATCGACACTATGTTGTTGTTCATGCGACCGTACCTAA